TGTTTTGCCCTCTCAAAGTAAATTTTCACAGAGGTACCACCATCTCAGCTGAGGGGCTCAGCTGTGCCCAGCGGTGGGTCCATTGAAACTGGCATGTCCAGCACAGGGCAACCCCCTGCCCCCGCTACCAGACCTTGCCTCCCACACCCAACACAACACTGAGCTGGAGAAGCTTGCTGCTTCTCATGCTACTGTACTTTTCACTGACACTTGTATTTTCTCTTTGTACAAATGGCAGTTACAGAATGAAGACACTAAACCAAAGGCTGATTCCCTTTCAGCACCATCCATGCAATGTTACTCTGAAAAGACCATGTCATCTGTTAGGGAACATCCTCAAGCTGATTTCGGTCTCACACCTCTCCTTGGCCAGTTAATAGTGGTAGTGAGAATTTTCTTGTTTTCAGCAGTACATAAAGACAGAGATGGAATGAAGCCTTTTACTTGCTTTTTAAGTTGTGTAAATGGAAGTGGACTTCCGAAGATTTGCGTCCCCCCTCCAGGGCTTCAAAGAAGGAAGAGACCAGTGAAGTATTTTTGATCTGGTTTCATGGTTTGAGTTAGAAAAAAACACAAAAGAAAAACAACAAAAGCACAAATAACCTTGAATCCAGAAAACCTGGAAGTATTGTTCTAAAGCACCAGAGGCACCGAAATTAAAATGAGCTTGAAAAACACGTAACAGCTCTGGTCCTTCCCTGTCTGTTTTCACTGCCCAACCTTAACAGTGGATTCCAAGGTGTAAGAATTCAGATGAAAATATCCGAGTGGTTGACAACCCTCACTGTAAAAAAGCTTTTTCTTATGTTTAAGCAGTATTTCCTGTCTTGACATCAGTGTTCATTGCCTCTTGTCCTTTCACTGAGAAGAGTCTGGCTCTGTCGTCCTTCCACACTCCATTCAGGTACTTATAACTTAGAGAAGATCCCCTTCTCAGCCTTTCCTTATTTATGACAGATACTTCAAGCCCTTAATTCATCTTCCTGGCCCTTTACTGGGCTGCCGACAGTACATCCATGTCACTGTTGTTCTGGGGAGCCCAAAATGGCACCCAGTGCCACATAAGGGGCAGCCATTACCTCCTTCCATGTTTTGGCAACCCTCTCTCTAATGCAGTCCAGGAGGCTGTTTGCCACCTTTGCCACAGGAGCACATCGCTGGCTTGTGGCAAGCTTGGTGTCCACCAACACCCCCCGGTCATTTTCTGACAAGCTGCTTTCCAGCCTCTCGCTCCCCAGCCTGTGCTGGTGCACAGGGTTATTGCTCCCCAGGTGCAGAACTCAAACCTTTGTTGAGCTTCATGAAGCTCCTGCTGGCCCATTTCTCCAGCCTGTCCAAGTCTCTCTGGATGGCAGCACCCATCGAATCTTTCCTTTGTTTTTTCATCATCTGCAAACTTGCTACAGGTGTGCTTCATCCCATCATCCCAGTCATTAATGATGATGTTTTAACACTATTGACTACTAGTGACTGGCCTTTAGCTGAACTAACTGCCACTGATCAGTCTTCTGTGCCCTGCAGTTCAGCGAGTTTTCAGTCCACCTTGCTATCCGCTTATTTAGTCCAGACATCATCAGTTTGCCTATAAGACTGTTACAAAAGACAAGTGTCACAAGCCTTTTTAAACTTACTATAAACAATGTCCACTGCTCCCCCTCATTCACCAAGCCAGTCATCTCACAGAAGGATGTCAGTTTGGTCAAGCATGATTTCCTCTTCATTAACGCATGCTGAAACTAGAGACTTTACTGTCCTTCATGTTACTGGAAACAATTTCCAGAAGGATTTGCACTATCACATTCCAAGGGATTGATGTGAAGCTGGCCGGCCTGCAGTTTCCCAGATCCTCCTTCTGGAAGATGAAGGTGACATTCGCTTTCTTCCAGTCCTCTGGAATCTCCCCCTAATGACCATGACTTAAATAAAACAAACATCATCCAGCTCCCTCGGCACATTTTGGTTTATTCCACATCAGGTCCCACTTTGTTTAAATGTTCCCTAATTCAGTCCTTGTCCACTGACCATCAATTTTTTCCTGTTCTGAATGTTCCACTCGTGTGAGGGATCGAGGATTCCTGAAAGGAACTGCATGAGCAAACTGAGCTCAAAAAGGCATTGAATACCTTGGCCTTCTCCTTGTCCTAGATCCATCACCCCATTCAGCAGCAGGCCTGCATTTTCCCAGTCCTCCTTTTGCTGGTAAGGTACGTCAAGAAACCTGTCCTTTGTTTCTCTCCCCACATTTAACTGCAGGTGAGTTTTGGCTTTCCTAAGCACATCCCTCCATGCTTGGACAGAGTCCGCATATTCCTCCCAGGTCACCTGTTTCTGCTTCCACTTCCTGTATGCTTCATTTTTTTCTGTGTCCTGACTATAGTCAAGAGCATCTTGTTCATCCACGCAGCCCTCCTGATGTTTGGTTATTTTCCTGCTTGTCATGATGAATCAGTCTTGAGGAGGTAATCCCTACAAGTGCGCCAGATCTCCTGGTCCCTTCTCTCCAGCATGGTCAAGAGATTCTTCCAAGCAGATCCCTGCAGAGGCCAAAGTCTGCTCTCCTAAGTCCAGAGCTGTGATCCTTTGTGCCCTGCTCCCTCCTCTCAGGATCCTGAACTCCACCATCACAGCCAAGGCTGCCCCCAACCTTCATATCCCTGACCAGATCTTCCCTGTTTATAAGATTTGGTCCAACAGGGCATCTTCCCTTGTCAGCTCCTTGATCACCTGCGTTAGAAGTTATCCACCCTAGCGGCTTCCTGAATTGCTGTATCATCCCCATGTTGTCCCTTCAGCAGATACCAGGATGGTTCAAGCCTCCAATGAGGACCAGAGCCTTTGAACTAGGGCCATCTGCCCACTGCCTTAAGATTACTTCATTCTTTACTTCTGCCTGATCAGGTGATCGGCAGTAGACATCATCAGGATGTCGCCCATACTGGTCTGCCCACTAATCCTGACCTATCAACTCTCACCAATGCAGAGCTCCACACATTCCCACTGGCCTCTCACAGAAAGAGTTATCCCACACCTTGTCTTCCCAGCACTTGTCTTTCCTAAAGAGCCTGTATACATGGCAAGGCTCCAGTCCCATGAACTATCCCACCAAATCTCTACGATGCCAATGAAACCATAGCCCTGCAACTGCAGAGAGATGTCCCGTTCCTCTGGTTTGTCCACCATGCCACATGCATTAGTGTGCAGTGTACTTCAAAGAGGCACCCAGTTATGATGACTTTCCAGAAAGATTACAAGATGTCATAATGCTGCGTGGCCAGCACTTCCTCATTTCTGTGCATATGCCTGTGGTGATGCCACTTCAGTCCTGTTCTGTGGAGGAATTCTGTGGATTACAAGGCCTATTCTGTTTACATCACCCTGCATCATTTGATTGCCATCCTGCCCCACCACTTTCTCACTTTCTCCTCCACTACTGTTCCTAGTTTAAAAGCTCTTTAACCAGGTTGGCCAGCCTCGTGGCAGCACTACTTTGGGGTGGATCCTGCCACCTCCTAGCAGTCCTATCCATTCCTTCACAAGTCCTTTCCTTGAGAAAGGGACCACCACCTGGGTCTCCATACCCTGACCATCACCCTCAGAGTCATGCAGTCACGCTTGATACTTTGCGGTTCTTGCCTGACCGTATCATTGGTGCCCCACATAGAAAACCAGCAGCAGTTAGAAACAGTCTTAAGGCCAGAGACCCCCAGCAAGCAGCAGACTTCCCTCAACAGTGCGTGGGGTCAGCAAAAGGGGGCCTCCATCCTTTGCATCAGGGATTCTGCCACAACTACATGCATTGTGTCCTTCCAGTGCTTGTGCATGGCTCAGGCTGAGCTGGCACAGATGCTTCATTTCACAGAATTCTGGCTGAAGTTTCTGGTAAATAATTTATTATGAAGTATTTTTTAACAAAACCAATTTTACTTGCTGACATTGATCTTTTAATGTCCGTAGTAACCTCATTTAAGGAGCAGTTACCTTTCAAACTGAAAAAATTCCATTCATTCTCAGAATATTACTTAAAAACAAACATGCATGTGAAGTATTTCCTACTGGAATTACAAACATAAATCAGTTAAAAAAAATATATACTTACAAGATTATCGATTTTCAGGGAGTTCTTGATTTCTGCATGTATCCTTTGAAGCCTAGAATCCATTGATGTTTCTGAAGATTAAAAATAGTATGCATGAATATTTGATAATCACATCAGGTTTGTTTTTGCAGAAACCTTCCTACAAATCTGAACTTCACAGAGAATACAGAAAAATATAGGCAGGCACTTTACATCAGGTAATGATGCAGGTGCACATATAATGCACTACAGGGCTTACTATCAGAAATAAACATGCAGCTTTTTAAAGTTGGACACTATTAGCAACCTACGTAGTTTTCTCCTTAGGAGTAACAAACCGAAAATAATTTTCTATTTCAATACACAGCTGTCACCCCCTACTTGTGGGCCAGGTTAAAAGGAAGTGAATACTAATTGAGTTACAAAGCTGGAAAACCTTTAATGCCACACCACCTGGATGTTGATGGTTTTGTTTTCAGTAATTTGGACATGATTCAAGTTACAGTCCAAATCCATCCAAACAAAATGCTACCAGTACACGTGCTTCAGGAGGTGTGCAAGATCAATTAACGTGTCCATCTCTAATTCACATGCTGAATGCCTGTTTGGATTTTTTTTCCATACACAAGGGGTACATATTCTCAACCATACTGCAAGCAAACAAGCGTTTCCATCAAGGCCAATCCATCTTGGATGGATTTGGATAATTTTTTTTCCCCTGCCAACACTGGGTTGGGTGCACTACTTGCCCCTGGATCTGTACTATACTACAAATTACAGCCAGCGGTTTGTATTGCCCTTAAAGATGGGAGTACTGAAAAAGGAATGACTTATCCCTATGAAGGTCAGTTTGCAAGTGTGGGTTAGTAGACAGTAATCTGAGTTGAAGCCTCTTGCTTAGCAAGCTTCCTGCTTAGTAAGAGGTAGTATCTAAATACTCTCAAGAGGTCTCTCAGATTGTGTTATGAAAAGACAGGAACAAATGAAAGGAAGAACAAAAGTTACTTGGTTCAAAGAATAAGAGCTTTTGTTTCTTGTTCTCAAACAGAAGGGATCATTGTCATTTAAAAGCTGAAGTGACAGTAAAATGGGAATAGGAAAGACCTGTTCTGATGCAGTGAAGAAAGAACATAGAAGAACAAGAACGCACTGTTTCACAGACCTGGAGAAAAGAGTCATGGATCAAATATCCTGGTCAGACTCCACAGCCACTCTAAGCAGTAAGTTAACTTATCCAGGCAGATAATTCTGTTCAAAATTTAAGATGACCAGAAATACTGTTTAGCTTCTTTAAACTAACCTCTCTTCTTCTCCATCTTCTTAACTTCTGTTTTCTTGCCTTCTTCTTTACTCTGCCTATCAAAAACATTAAAGTGTTTTTACAATGTTGTAACGTCCGTTTTTCAGTCTTTTATTCCAATTTTTAGATGGGATACAATGTTTTGAGGTATTATCTCAGCATGCAAAAACCACATAGAGCCAAACCCTGGTTTTCAAAGACTGAAATAAATTAACAAAATGAGTTGGCCAAGATACTGCCGATAAATCCTCCATACTGACACACAGTTTCCCTTAGAAACAGCAAATTAAAGGATTTTAAAAACAAGTCAGATTTACAAGCTGTTTTTTATTTTGGTTGCATATACAAATTGGTAAAACAGCATTGTATGGAACTAACTGATGGAGAAAGAAAATATTTTCATTATGATGACAAAAAGAGCAGAACTGTTTAACATTATCACAGGGAATTATGGAGAGATCAGTTAATCATAACTAGTTCCTATTATTTTCTCATATAATTAATTATAATACTATAAGTATCCTACAACTGACAATAAACGTATCAGTGATAATTTAAATATTCTTGAAGCAAATAGTAATAAAGGAAAAAGATTTATTACAAGTTCATTGATATCTCCTGGCTCTTTCTCTAATTGTATCACTAAAAAATAAAGCTGGGACTTAAGAAAAACAACATGAAACTTGTCTCCCTCAGTTACACAATGAAGACAGGCAGAAGTCTTCCAAACAAGCTTTTGAACTCTTTATTCAGAGAAGATCATGCACCCTTATTTAGCAGTTCCTCACTCTCGTCTTACTGAGGGTTTTCAAAGCCTCATTTTAGAATTTGCTTATTTCAGCACATCACCACTAAATATTCTATGACTAGTTTTCTTCCTGTCATAGTAATATGTATCCGGAGCTGCAGGTGTACCCTCTTCCATGTTCCTTTCGTGCTCTATCCAGTTACAGAATCAACAGTTCTGAAGTAAGATTATTTTACTTCAACTGGCAGCACAAGCTCATGCCATTTAAACAGTACATATAAACCCTGTATATGTACAGAACGATGTACAAAGCACCGTTATCAGACTTCAGTAAATACTAACAAAGTAGCTACAAAGACCAGAAAATGGAAACTACGCTGATGAGAAAAGTAACAAAAAAAGGGTATCAGCCTATATTCAGTGTATTAGTACAGGAACTCGAAGACAGACAGCATAAAGAAGTCATCCATTTCGTTTTTATCAATACTGAGTTTTGTCGATTAGTCATCAGCTACAATTAAATTAATTATGCATTCATTACCCTCTACTCCTTTACCTTACTGAAACAAAGCTCTATCTACCCTCCAATGTATAAAATAGGACAGCTATTTAAAAGTAGAGATTTGATTATTATAACCAAGTCAATATATGACAGTTCAATTGCAAAAATCAATCAGCACAGGTCAGATTCAAATAGTAATATATCAAGAGCTGCAGAGATGCTAAGGACAATTTAGTATCTCTGGAGTTGGAAATGCTTAGGTTTGCTACAAGCAAGTAGAGTAATACGTTAGGTTTCCAGAGGAGTCGTCACAGGAAGAGAAGAAAGCGCTAGAGGATAAAAAAACCCAAACAAACTAGATTCTTGTTAATGAATACAAAAAAGGTACAGTTTTGTTGTGAAGATGACCATTACCATCCTCCTTTTTCTCTGAATTTTCACCTTGTTCTCCCTTTCTTCCACCCTCCCACCAACTGTGGGGATGGGAACATCATGCTCTCATGGTGGTGGCTTCTTCATCCATTTGCAGAATAGTTCTTGAGAATGAGTCAGATTTCTTCCTATTGTCCCACTCCCCCAATTTCTGGCAGGATCTTCTCTCCATTCTTAAGTTTGATTCATTTGTGCTAATTTATCTTCTGAATGCAGACTGCTCTTGGTATCACTCAACTGCCTTTGCAGCGCTACAGAAGAATAGTTCTTATTTTTTCCTTTTTCTGTCTGACAGTGTGTGCTCCAGCTGCCAGACAGAGAAGGAAATGTTAACCCTATGCATTCCACAACCTGATGAAAAATCCAGTACCATGGATTAATAAATAGGTCCTACCAGTTCTCAACCTAATGTGTCCAAAACATCAAGAAAAATATATGGCAGTCCTGAACAGTTTTTCACACTGATCCCTTTTCGCATGGATATATTCTTAGGTTATTTCTAAACAGAACCCAGCAGCTGTCTTCTGCTAAAAATTCTAAGTCATTGAAAGACTGACATCGCTTAATTTCTAGGTTCTTACCATCCTCCCACAATAGAACATACTGGTTTAAAGGAGCTTTTTACTCTGCACTTAAAGAAGTTAAAAGAGACACCAAAAAAAAGGGGGGAGGGGTGGAGAGAGAACAACAGAACACAGTGCAAACCAGTTTGGAATTTTTTCAGACGTTGTTTCCTCCTGTACTCCTACAACTTGAGGACATCACATGTTAAAACATACTCACAATTCAGATTCTGTCTGCTCCTCTTGCTTACGCTTCCGTTCTGTTATTTCTCTCTCCTGTTGGCCTCTTACAGTGCTTCTTCTATGAGCTGCCTGAAAGCTTCTTCCCCCTTTTTTCTTCTGTTTTTATTTGGAATTTTAGGATTGGAAAGAGAAAAGCAAAAGTATTAAATCATTGCTTCTGTAAACAAGTAAACCGACCTACACTAAATATCTCTGAAGCAACTCTGCTCCACAGAATGACATGACAAGAGCTGGCTTTCCCTGCAACTAAGTGTAAGACCTCCACATGTTGGTAAGTTCTGAATTACTTTAAGTCCTTTCTTCCTTTTTCCTTTGCTAACAGAAGGCAAATAAATATCCTAAGCACCTGAAAAAAAAAAGACGACCTTCCAAATGGCTTGCTAAGGACAGCTTTATATCTTTCAAAAACTTGATTTGAAGCCACATGTTCTTTTAGATGCATCTAAGGAAAAAAAAAGTTTGTGTTCCAAGGAACACAGATGGAAAAAGACTTTGGACAAGACAACTAACTTCCACATTTAAATCCTTTGTTAAAAAGAAAAGTATCTTACAAGAGATGCTTTTCTTAGAAAGTACCAAAGAAGCTCCTGAGACAATTATCCAACAAAATGAAGTTCTGCAACTTCTATTCTGTACGTCTCTATTAGCCAGTCACAGGGCTACAACCTTTACTAAAATGTAGCATTAACTACAGGAAAGATCTTCAGTGAAACTATGTTCCTCTACAATAAATGTATCGGGAAAGCAAAATTATACCTTGTCACCTTCTTGTTCTTCGCCGTCATCTTCAGAATCAGAAGCTGATGCAGAACCCACTTTTGCAGCATTCTTCCTTTTTGGTTCAGCCTCCTTCTTTCCTTCCTTTTTGTCAAATTCCTTCTTTGATTTCTCCTCTTCCTTCTGACTTTCCTCATCTTTTTTCCCTTGCTTTTTGGGCTTTTCTTCTGGTCCTTTTTTCTTTGCCTTCTCCTCCTCACTAACACTAAAACATTAACAGTATTCAGGCATCATATTGATTATCTACAGTGAGTTTAAAACACCACATTCTTCCAACTCAGGGATTTATTTTTTTTTTTACTCCACAGGATATTGAACATTGTGACGTTAAAGACTTTTCAGAAAATACTCAAGTCTTTTTCTAAAATTATAGCCCACTACCTATGCAAAAAAAGAAATAAATAGTAGTATGGAGGCCCTAATAAAGCTAACATTAACGTGCATAGATCCAAACCCAAGAAGTTAATGCTCAGAAGTTCTCCACACACGCACGTGTCTGTAGGACCAAGAGTGCATACGGTGTAAACTAGTTTTATAAAGTGTACTTATTTAAGGTGTACATATGCTGAAAGTGTGCATCTGCTAATCTATAGAAATCTATAGTTGAGCTAATGCTCAACTTTTCCTGGAGTTACTAGGACCACTAAGAACTTGACACAAGAATGGAACAGGGTAAAACAAAATTTAGGTAACAAATAGTGTTGGAATTCTATCAGAAGAGATTTCTGAAACAAAAATGTAAAAAAAGAAATAGTTTTGCATGATCTTGTCTTTTCTCTTAATAAATATCTTTTCGTCTTCACTCAGCATACAAGTCATATAAGGAATTTTGCACAGATTTTACAAGCTAGGATGGTTAAGAACTTCTGTCTCTTGTTCCAGAAATGTACTACCTGGAGTTCCTGTGTATTAATTACCTGAGCTGTAAATTACAACATCAAAGCAAACAGTAACTCATACTGAATACTCATACGAAGGAGCAAAAACCTGTCAGGAACTCAGTACTAATTATGAAGTCTTAACAAAAGGAAGAACATGGTTTGCAATGAAGAAGCTTTATATTAAGAAACAAAACAGAATAACTCACAAGTCACTCTCTGAAAGACAAGGTGGTTTCACCAACTTCGGTCTCCCTCTTGGTTTTGGAACCTTTACTTCAGAAGCTAGTATTTATACAGAAATAACAGGTTAGTCCACAGCCACCATCTGCCCCTCATCTATGAAGAAAGATTCTTACTCAATGGACAGAAGCTACACTTAAATCAAAATGTATGCCCTAACTTTGTTATTATACAAACCTCAAGTGTTAAATGACTAACAAACTTCAATCAAGACCTCTTTGAAAAACTGAAGTGTTGGTAGGTTTTTTTAGCTGACTGGTAAACTGAAAAGAAGATACTTTGCTGGCTTTTTAGCCACAGGCTCCAACTACCAACTCTTGTGGTTTTTGCATTCTGTGCAGTTAGGATTTGTTTCACATGTTGCATAACTAACACAAACAAGTCTCAAATTAGAGAACGAGAAAGTCTGAAATTAGAGAATGGAAAGAAGTCATTAGTGCCCACATTTAAGCAGTCTGTTTGCCATTATTTTTAGATGTATCATTGGGCTTCCATCACCTGTTGGTAACAAATCACTGTCAAGAAGTTCTACCACCACACCACAGCACAGAGCAAAACCTGGCATTTTCTCAGATTCATCATATTGTCAGGAGTAAGACAAACAGTGTATCTGCCTTCTTGGCACTTATATCCTTCAAATGTGTGTCTGGTATCACAGCAACATGTGGTTAGGAAACCTAATACTCGGTGTTTAAACTCGTGTTGGTGTTAGCATGGGGCACTGTTAAGCAAGAGATGCACGCATCATATCAACACCAGAAAAGGCTGCACAGTACATCTTATAAAAAGGTATTTTATACAGGAGGTGAAAGCACCCCTTATAGACTCTTTCCTGCTCTTACGGACAGTAGTTAGTGAAAACAACAAAACTGTAAAGATAAAAAACACAAACAAGTATTAAAAATGTACATTTAGTACATGTAATGAATCAGGGGGTGGGGGGTGCAGCAAAGGGGAGCTGAAGTAATACATAATTTCCTCACTGCTTCCAAGGCAAAAAGTAATTAAGTCTAGTTAACTGTGGTTGCACTTTCTAGAAATCATTTTCATATTGTCAACAGATACAGACCGAGTAAAAATTACTTGTTTCCCAGACTAGATGCTCATACAATGCACTTAACTACTGCCAAGAACTGTTTTCCGATGTAGCAGTTAATGATCAATTCAAGAATATCTGCAAGCTTATCACAAAGAATCCCATGAATTAGATCGCTGCTGCTTTGAAAGAAACAAGCACTACAGAATTATCACCAAATGGTTCGAATTATACATTTTAAATAAAGCAGTTATATCTTCTTTTCATTTGTCTATCGATCTACACAGGCTGCCTTAAACATCTTTTTAAACAAGTCACTCCAGCTCTTTGTTTTAGTTTTTACTGTCCTCTGAGCTCCACCTACAGGCTCCGTGTCTCCCCAGTTCTCTTCCTGGTATTTTATGGATATTCTGACACAATTAAAAGTATTTTATAGACCTTTAATGAATATAAGCCTTTATGGAGCAACAGTGCACAAAGAGCTCTTATCGTGTATCTATAGTTTTGCAACATTCTACAAAGAAGTCTTTTCTAAAGATGATACTTGTACCCAAAACCAACAACGCTTATTTAGAGGACCGAGCATTAATGCTAACAATTTAAATTCATTTACATCCTAAATTTGTCAGCTTGAGAAGAGGAGTTTTCTCGTTACAATCTATTAGCAAAGACTGCCTTTAGCATGAGAACATACCCAGTAGTACTTCAGGGGAACGAGACAGCTCCCTAGTTCTAAGATATTTCTGTGGTGAAAAAAAAAAAAAAGTCCTTTAAAGTCCTTAACCTTTAAAGTTACCTGCTGGTCTTCCTCTTTTGGGGCTTACTTTTGGAGACACTGGTACAGGAGCTGCTGCCGCCACTGCTGCTGCCACTGCTGCCGCCACTGCTGGCGTTGCCACAGCTGCTTCCTCGGCTTCAGCTTGTTTTTCAGCCTAATTTAAAGAATGAATTTCACAAGTGACAATACAGAGAACCGTTATCTCAACTACTTTCTCAAACAACAGTTTTAAACTTCTAGAAATGCATTATTATGCTATTGCTTCTACATATGAGAAAAAAAAGTTTCCAAGCTAAGTAATAGATTATATTTGAATATCACTAATTTCACCTTCTCCATACCATCACTACCTGATACAGTAACATTTCATATAATTTTAGCCAGCCCATTCATCTTCAGAACAATGAACTATCTTGGTACACCAAAGGAAAAGGACTATTTGTAATATTTCTGTAACAGCATGCCAAAAACACAGTTTTAAGCAGGTATGTTCATATTTTTTTTGCCCCATATACACAGTCATCTTTTAGATGCCATCATCTCTCCTAGCTGCATCAAAGTATCGAGCCAGTAGATGGAGCTGTTCAGAAAAACACCTGCTTTAGCTCTATAGCCAATTACTCACAACAAAAAATTCTATGTTGAACTGCACTAACTGGACATAATGACCTTCATCTACATAGCCATTTTAGGGGCTTGGGTTGTAAAGGCAGATAGAACCCATGACAAAAGATCTTGATGAAAAAAGATACATATCTCTGTACAGAAACATTCCATATCCATATGCATGGACAAAAAGAATTGAGAAAGATCCGAACTAGAGAAAATATTCACAGAATTCAGTGTCTTGGATACAGGAGCATCAGCTAGCAGCAACAGAAAAGTTATGGGCAAATACATATCTTAATATTTCTTGCGGGCACCTATAATAAAAGGCACTTTAAAAGCCATTTTAAAGAACAGAGACAAACTTAAATCTAGAACAGAGCAGAGGCGCATGTCGTATTAACTGTGCTTTCCATCAGCCTACAGGAAAAAGAATGTTTAAATGAAGACAAAAATACCTGTTAAATGCATTTTTTACAATCCCAGGAAAAGAAAACATCACATTTCTTCAGACAAATGAGAAACGCACTCAAATTCATACAACTACATAGCCAACCCTCTATTCTGACCCACAAGCACACACCACAACCCTTGAAATATTATTCTTTTCTGTTCAGCAATGACCTGTAGTAATGCAAATTTCTGGTTAAATGCCTTGCCACATGCAGATGTCCCAAACACAAGTCTGTCAGCTGAAGCTAGTAAATGTGACAGAGGGAATCTTAGGCCTGTGGTGCCTTATGATGCCAAAAAAACCAAACCTCAACCTCAAACAAAGCAAAAGAAAAAACACCACTAACACAAGATTTGAGTGCTTTCTGAAAATGCAAAGAATGAGATCTTTTTTGTGTGCATCATCTGTGAGGCTTCTGTCCCATCTACAAGCTGAAATCACAGGTATGCATAGTCACA